GGCTCTCCAAGGCTTCCATGACGGCCCAGGAAGCCCACCCAGGCCGCCAAGAGGCATCCAAGGCAGTTCAAGATCGCTCGAAGAGGCCAAAAGATGGCCTCAAGACTGCCCAAGAAGCCTCGAGGACGCCCCAAGAGGCCTCCAAGAGGCCTCCCAAGAGGGCCCCAAGAGGCAAAAATGAGCGAGTTCCCTCTAGGTTGTTGAAGGATGGTGGTGTTCTCGCCGTTTCGGCTTTCCGACGCTCCAAGACGACCCAAAATGCCCCCAACACCATCCCAAAACGCTCCAGGAGGCCCCCAAGAGGAACCCAAGACGGCCTAAGAGCGCCCCAAGACGGCCCAAAAGGCGCCCAAGACGACTCCAAAAGGGGCCCAAGAGGGGGAACGCGAACCGAAAATCCGAGTCTTCCGCCCCAAGAGGCCCCCATCAGGCCCCAAGAGGCCCCCAAGAGACCCCCAAGAGACCCGCAGAGGCCCCCAAGAGGCCCAAAAGAGATTCCCCAAGAGGCCCCAAAACGGCATCCAATAGGCCCTAAACCTGCTTCCAAGAGGCCCGGAGAAGCCTCCCATGAGATCCCAACGAACATCAAATAGGCTTCATACCAACAACTCAAGCTCTGTGGCGGGACTTGCCGTAGGCAGCTGGGCACACTTGCCTGCTATTGGTTGCGGCATAAATTGCGCATTCGGAAGCCGAGAACAAGACTACGGCCTAATGGATACGACAAGTGAATCCGCCAGTCCGAGCATACCCCGCGAATTATCCCGGCAAAGCAACCTAACATCGATGTGTAGGAGCATATCTGGAAGCATTCCCCTTAAGATTCGGATGAGAATCCAGTTGTAGAATTCTGCTGTTCTCGCAGTCGTAGTCGCATTCGCGATGACAGTCGCAGTGGCAACGGCAGTCGCAGTCACAGCCTCAGCCTCAGCCTGCCTCAGCCTCAGCCTGCCTCAGCCTCAGCCTCAGCCTCAGTCTCAGCCTCAGCCTGCCTCAGCCTCAGCCTCAGCCTCAGCCTCAGCCTCAGTCTGCCTTCAGCCTCGGCCTCAGCCTCAGCCTGCCTCAGCCTCAGCCTGCATCAGCCTCAGCCTCAGCCTCAGCCTGCCTCAGCCTCAGCCTGCCTCAGCCTCAGCCTCAGCCTGCTTCAGCCTCAGCCTCAGCCTTCAGCCTCGGCCTCAGCCTCAGCCTGCCTCAGCCTCAGCCTGCATCAGCCTCAGCCTCAGCCTCAGCCTGCCTCAGCATCAGCCTGCCTCAGCCTCAGCCTCAGCCTGACTCAGCCTCAGCCTCAGCCTGCTTCAGCCTCAGCCTCAGTCTGCCTTCAGCCTCGGCCTCGGCCTCAGCCTGCCTCAGCCTCAGCCTGCATCAGCCTCAGCCTCAGCCTCAGCCTGCCTCAGCCTCAGCCTCAGCCTGCTTCAGCCTCAGACTCAGTCTGCCGTCAGCCTCGGCCTCGGCCTCAGCCTGCCGCAGCCTCAGCCTGCATCAGCCTCAGCCTCAGCCCCAGCCTGCCTCAGCATCAGCCTGCCTCAGCCTCAGCCTCAGCCTGCCTCAGCCTCAGCCTCAGCCTGCTTCAGCCTCAGCCTCAGTCGGCCTTCAGCCTCGGCCTCAGCCTCAGCCTGCCTCAGCCTCAGCCTGCCTCAGCCTCAGCCTCAGCCTCAGCCTGCCTCAGCATCAGCCTGCCTCAGCCTCAGCCTCAGCCTCAGCCTTCCTCAGCCTCGGCCTCAGTCTGCTTCAGCCTCAGCCTCAGTCTGCCTTCAGCCTCGGCCTCAGCCTCAGCCTGCCTCAGCCTCAGCATGCCTCAGCCTCAGCCTCAGCCTCAGCCTGCCTCAGCATCAGCCTGCCTCAGCCTCAGCCTCAGGCTGCCTCAGCCTCAGCCTCAGCCTGCTTCAGCCTCAGCCTCAGTCTGCCTTCAGCCTCGGCCTCAGCCTCAGCCTGCCTCAGCCTCAGCCTGCATCAGCCTCAGCCTCAGCGTCAGCCTGCCTCAGCATCAGCCTGCCTCAGCCTCAGCCTCAGCCTGCCTCAGCCTCAGCCTCAGCCTCAGCCTCAGCCTGCTTCAGCCAAAGACTCAGTCTGCCTTGAGCCTTGGCCTCAGCCTCAGCCTCAGCCTGCCTCAGCCTCAGCCTGCATCAGCCTCAGCCTCAGCCTCAGCCTGCCTCAGCATCAGCCTGCCTCAGCCTCAGCCTCAGCCTGCCTCAGCCTCAGCCTCAGTCTGCTTCAGCCTCAGCCTCAGTCTGCCTTCAGCCTCGGACTCAGCCTCAGGCTGCCTCAGCCTCAGCCTGCATCAGCCTCAGCCTCAGCCTCAGCCTGCCTCAGCATCAGCCTGCATCAGCCTCAGCCTCAGCCTGCCTCAGCCTCAGCCTCAGCCTGCTTCAGCCTCAGCCTGCCTCAGCCTCAGCCTCAGCCTGCCTCAGCCTCAGCCTGCCTCAGCCTCAGCATCAGCCTGCCTCAGCATTCAAAATGTGGCTCGGGAATGGAGTTCTGGGAACTCGAAGAACACGAAGTGGCCTACAGTTGGCTCCGGGCATTCAAAATCATGCCCAAGAATGGAATTCTGGGAACTCGAAGATCACGAAGTGGCCTACAGTTGGCTCCGGGCATCCAAATGTGGCCCGGGAATGGAGTTCTGGGAAGTCGAAGAACACGAAGTGGCCTACAGTTGGCTCCGGGCATCCAAAATGTGGCCCGGGAATGGAGTTCTGGGAAATAGAAGAGCACGAAGTGGCCTACAGTTGGCTCCGGGCATCCAAATGTGGCCCGGGAATGGAGTTCTGGGAAGTCGAAGAACACGAAGTGGCCTACAGTTGGCTCCGGGCATCCAAAATGTGGCCCGGGAATGGAGTTCTGGGAAATAGAAGAGCACGAAGTGGGCACGAAGTGTGTGACTGTATGCGAAAAACGATCCCCGCCGGCAAACCCCAACAGCCCCCCAACTGCCCCCCAACTGCCCCCAACGGCTGCCCAGACCCCCCTGTGGAGTAATGTTGAAGTAATGTTGAAGTAATGTGCTGCTCTCTTTTTAGACCACTAGAAACCTATCAGTCTTCGATGTTAGGTAAAAACTTGCAAGCCAAAAACGGCCGCGGCAAATGGATGGAGAATTATCCCGGCAAAGCAACCTAACAGCGATGTGTAGGAGCATATCTGGAAGCATTTCCCTTAAGATTCAGATGAGAATCCAGTTGTAGAATTGTGCTGTTCTCGCAGTCGTAGTCGCATTCGCGATGACAGTCGCAGTGGCAACGGCAGTCACAGACACAGCCTCAGCCTCAGGCCTGCCCCTCCTTCCTCATCCTCCTCCTCCGCCTTCCTCTTCTCTGCTCCTCCTCCTCTCCTCCTACCTCCTCCTCATCTCCTCATGCTCGCCATCTTTTCGTCCCTACCTCGTCTTGCCTCGTCCATCCTCCTCTGGGCTTCTCTCCTAACTCTCCTCCTCCCTCCTCCTCCTCCCTCCTCCTTGTTGAGTCCTCGTTGTCTCCTCCTCCTGGTGCTCTCCCCACCCTTCCTCCTCCTCGTCCTCCTCCTCCTCTTCCTCCTCCTCCTCCTCCTCCTCCTCCTCCTCCTCCTCCTGGTAGTCCTCCCCCTCCCCTCCTCCTCCTCCTCCTCTTCCTGGTCGTCCTCGTTCTCGTCCTCCTCGTCTTGCTCGTCCTCCTCCTCCTGGTGTTCTCTCCTCCTCCTCCTCCTCCTCCTCCTCCTCCTCCTCCTCCTCCTGGTGGTCCTCGTTCTCCTCCTCCTGGTACTCTCCCCCCCCCTCCTCCTCCTCCTCCTCGTCCTCGTCCTCGTCCAACTACACTCCTACATACTCTTCCTCATAATCATCATCATCCTCTCCTCTCCCGCCTTCCTATGGTCCTCCTCCCCATTACCATCCTCCTTTCTCCTCTTCATGGTCGTCCTCCTCCTCCATGGTCGTCCTCCTCCTCCTGCTCTTCCTCCCTCCTCCTCCGCTCGTCCTTCTTATCATGCTTCATGCGCCTACTGCTCCCTCCTCCTGACTCCCGGCTCGTCCTCGTCTCTGGTCTTGTGCGTCTCCTCCCGTCGTGCTCTTGCCCCTGCTGAAAATGTGGCCCAGGAATGGGAGTTCTGGGAAGTCGAAGAGGCACGAAGTTCGCCACAGTGGCTACGGGCATCGAAAATGTGGCCTGGGAATGGAGTTCTTGGAACTCGAAGAGCACGAAGTGGCCTACAGTTGGCTCCGGGCATTCAAAATGTGGCCCGGGAATGGAGTTCTGGGGACTCGAAGACCACGAAGTGGCCTACAGTGGGCTCCGGGCATTCAAAATGTGGCCCGGGAATGGAGTTCTGGGAACTCGAAGAGCACGAAGTGTGTGACTGTTGCATCCGGTTATTTTAAATGTGGCCCGGGAATGGCGTTCTGGGAACTCGAAGAGCACGAAGTGTGTGACTGTTGCATCCGGTTATTCTAAATGTGGCCCGGGAATGGCGTTCTGGGATCTCGAAGAGCACGAAGTGTGTGACTGTTGCATCCGGGTATTCAGAATGTGGCCTGGGAATGGAGTTCTGGGAAGTCGAAGAGCACGAAGTGTGTGACTGTTGGTGAAAAACGAGCCCGGCACCCTGCCGCCCGGCAACTCCCCAACACCTGCCCGGACCCCCCTGTGGAGTGATCTGTGAGCTCTTTTGAGACCACTAGAAACCTATCAGTCTTCGCTGTTAGGTAAAAATCTCGCTGCGATCGAAACCACTACGCGAAAGACTGCGAGCATGCGCTGCGATAGTGCAGGCACATATGGAAATATATCTATATAGATATTAAGAACCCCATAACATCAAGCGCAACGATCTCCATGAAACTGGCGCCGTGAGTATGCGTTGCAGAAGCAAGCACGCGCTGACCATGTAACGACACTAAGACATGTGAACACGTGTGGAATGTTCCGTCTGCCCTCGCACACATACGCAACCAGGCACACGTGCAGCTCGCATACGCACGTGTGCGTGCACAATCGCATGAGCACGCTCGAGATAATGAGAGCCCGCCTTTCTTGTTTTTGACACCGACCCCGGGGCACGCAATGATGAAGGGCATGCGGGCAACGCACAGTGCGTCGCAAACGCGGCGCAGGACACGTGAAACAGCGAGGCGATCGCAGTGCGGTTCACAGGCTGCCAGACGAAGGGCGCATGCAACAACTCTGGAGAGCCTCATGCAACTACGGCAACGCAGGAGAGCCTCGTGAAACAAAGGTACCCCGTGGCGCTCGGCCACTCAACCAGCCCCATGCAAGGGCAAGCCTACGGCCTCAAGTGAACGGGAGGGAGGCGAGGGCAAGGAAGGACTGGGATGCACGGGGAGGAGTGGCGAGGGGGCCCGGATGTGATGACGCGAGGGGCTCCGGAGAAACAGCAGGGGGGCACTGGCCCAGGAAGGGGGGAGAACAGTGACCCGACATCGACGATGCATCGCCGACGGATCGGCGATGGGCCCACGGTGGGGAGACCGGGCCACCTGACTTCGCGCATCGCGCCCCGCGATGCGCGATCGGCTTCGCGCCCCCGCGCCCCCGCGCCGCAGCCCTGCCCCGGAGAAGGGCAACCGCTCTGGCCCAGACCGCCACGCGCGATTCTCTTCGCGCTCCCGCGGGTGACTCCTCCTCCTCCTCCTCCTCCTGCTCCTCCTCCTCCTCCCTTTCCTCCTCCTCCTCCTCCTCCTCCTCCTCCTCCTCCTCTTCGCGGCACCATTCGCAGAGGCCGCCTGAACGCAAACACCGTGACAAAGGCAGGCCACGCGGTGCTGCAGTCAAGGGGTGGTTGAAGAAGCAGTCCCGAGCAAAGGAATAACGACTTCTCAGGCAACACAAGGGGCAGTTTCCTCTCCACACTGGGGTGCCGCCCAGCAACTGCCAGCTGGGGCACTTCGCCTTGTCAAGCGTCGTCATCCAATACGCCGGCTTCCTTCAGTCGCACCACGGCGTCCTCGCACGCGTCGCGAACGTGCTTGTCGGACTCTAGTCGCAAGGCTCCTACGAGCTGCTGGCCGTAGACGGTGGCATGGGATCCCATGCGCCCGAGTGTCTCCGCCGCTGCACGGCGGATATCCTTGTCATGGCTGCTGAGCCTCTTGGCAACTTCCCTCGCAGCCTTGCGGGCATGCACCCCCAACTCCTCGAATGTCTCCATGGCTGCCCGTCGCAGGGCCCAGTCCCGGCGGTCCAGCTCATTGACCACATCGTTGAGGTAAGGCACAGCGTTCTCCTGCGCACTTGCGAGAACACGAAGAGCATGGACTCGGTGGTGCGCCTGGTACACCACCGACCCGTCTTCAGTTGCGTGGTCACGGAGCAACGAGCTCGCGAATGCGGCGACGTGGGCCGATTGAGAGCTCAAGCCCCTCATCGCAAGCTCTGCTGCGGCACGGTGCTTTGGATTCTCGGACAACAGGCTGACCTTGATGTGCTTGAGGTACTTGACCACCTTGGGCCCCGCAGAGATGAGGGCCCTCGCGGCCGCTTCCGGGACCCTCGGGCTCCTGTCTGCCAGCAGCTTGGCCAGAGAGCTGCCATACGGCGCAGCGAGGGGCCCCAGGGAGCTCATCACCTCGAGGGCAGAAATCCGAACTGCCGGGTCCGGGCTCGAGAGCTGCGGACAGACCGCCGCGGCGGCCTCCTCCCCCGAGTGGGCAGCGATCGCCACCATGGCCTTGGCGGCGCTCCGGCGGACCGCGGCGTCCGCGTGACCGAGCTGCTCGCCAGCCTTCGCGATGCCCCCCTTCGCCTCGACCCCGAGATAGCCCAAGGCGTTGACCACAGCCAGCCGGACGTGGATGTCCCTGTCGGCCAGCATGGCGGCCATGCCCTCGCAGTAGGGCGCCGCGAAAGGCCCCATCTGGGTGAGCAGCTCCACGGCCTGCCTGCGGGTCCGCGGGTCGTCGTCCTGCAGCCACTCGGCCGCTTTGATCGCGGCGGTCTCCGCAGGCCCTGGGGGCAGGGGCTTCTTCTGCCTCTGGTCGTCCAGCGAGGCCGGATGCCGCTGCTCGGGAATGAGCTCCTCCGGAGCCAGCTCCTTCGCCCGGAGCAGCGCCGCGAAGGCCTGCCGCCCGACCTCGGGCTGCCCGTGCTTCACGAGCGGGCCGACCCGGTCCAGAGCCAGGATGCAGCTCGTGTTCTTGGCCGTCGCCGCGCGGCCGATGGCCTCCACCGCGGTCTGCTTGACGTACAGGTTCTCATGCTCGAGCAGCTCCACGATGGACTTGGACAGCAGGTCCACGGGCACGGGCAGCACGGGGATCGTTCCGAGGCCCTGGGAGCGCACCCCCGGGTCATACGACTTCAGCTGCTTTTCCAGGAGCTGGAGCTGCAGCGGCTTGGTGGCCGCGGCTTTGGCCGCGGCCGCCGCGGCAGCCATGGCCGGCCGCTGTACCGTCCGAGCGTGGACTCGAGACTAGCATGAGCCCACACGGCTAGCCAGTGAATGCTGTTCATGATGGGCGTTATCTGTACAACATGCTGCACGTACCTGAATCCTATTGGAACTCTGGTCGCGACTGCGTGTGCAACATGTGGGATACAACCTATGGAATAATCCATGCGGTGCGAACCATGGGGTGCACCTTTTGAGGAGTATTCTACCCGGTGCGAAGCCTTGGGTGACACCTATGGAGTGCAAGATTTGCGGTCGATTATATGCGGCGCAATCTCTGGGATGAAATGTGCTGTGTGCAATATGGGACGTGCAATCTGAACAAATGTCCAAGCGATAGGGTCCCACGAGAGGCGGCCAACACATAGCAAACCTAACAAGGCAGGGGTAGTTTATCCGTCGACACGTCAGGACACCTCAATGCAAATCTTGCTCTGGGAATGCGATCAAATACGTCGTCGCGTTCGCGCTCAATGGCAAACGCTATCACAGACAAGCTGGTTTGCACTCGCCAAAAAACAGGGCTGCAAACAACGGATCCATATCGCAAACACTTGGCGACATCACTACAATAACTATCTCGCAATAACCTTCCTCATGGCGCACTAGAAACTGTTTGTGCCGATTGAGCCGTGTTGTGAAACATTCCCACGTGTTGTTGGCCGTCGCCTGTGTCTGAATTATCCGCCACCGTGCCTAAATGCAAATGACAGAATATCCGCAAGTCCTCCATTAATGTTCAACGCTGCGAATGAGAAATGCTTCTCAGGGCCTCAGGCCGGGACCTACGGGCATCACGGGCGCGCTTGCAGGGTTCGTCGCGCAGGGTTTGGGACCTGCACCTGCAGAAAGCGCCAAAATGGGGCCGGTGGCCTAGCCAGCGCTCTCTTGAGGTCTCTTGGGCTGTCTTAGGGGCCTCAAGGCCGAATAACGATCCAAACAGCACTTCAAAACATGTTTTGTTGCACGAGTATTGCACGTTTGCCTTTTTCGCTTTTTCGGTCGTCAGGGCATCGGATCGGCCCAATCGGGAAAAATTACCCTGCGACGTACCCAACCCACGCGCATCAAATGGCAAGAGGAGCATGCCAACATTAGCAGGAACAGCGACAGTGTAGACGCGGCGATTTGCTGCGCAAGCTACATGGGATGCGCGTGCGCTGCACGATTCACAGGACGACGATCGAAAGAACGAGGCTTGAAGCCCCAGGATCGAAGAAGAACGGGCACGGGAACGAGGGGTAGGAGAGGGATGGAATGGAGGGCGGGGGGGGCGAAAGGCCATCGCGGAAGCAGCAGCATGCATGGAGAAGGTGAAGCGGGGAATAAGACGACGATGAAAGTGGCGGGAGGAGACAGAAGACTGCCGCGTTTTTCAAGTGCGAGCTAAACCCGCAGCGCTGCCTGCGCCATGTCGTCGCAGAGTTCCACGTGATAAAACTTGTTTAGAGTGCAACGAGCGAGGCGTAGCTCGCCCGCTAGCTTCTCCGCCTCCTTCGCGCACATTTCAGCGCGGGAGCTGAACGCTCGCAGGCGCGCCGCCAGGTCTGCGGGCGGCCCGCGGGAAAGAAACTCAAGGCCGGGGTCGCGCATCATCAATCGGTTGTCCATCGTCCAAAGTTGCACTGGCGACGTACTGGTTGAACGCGGAGCGAGCAGCATCACGCGCGTGCCTGAACGCCACGCAGGTACAGTGCACGCGCGATTGGGACTTCAGGTCGATCACGCGCGTCTCCACCAGGCTTGGCAACACCACGCGACTGAGGATCTCACTGCGGTCTGCCATGCTGCTGTCCGCGAATGCAATGCGCTGCCTGCAAGTAAGGCGGCGGCGTCCACTTGTCTCAGAAGATGTTCCCGCGGGCCCGAAGGGCGACCGCCAGCTCGAGCCGCGGCGCCGGCAGGCCAGATAAGGATCATGCAACAGCAAAGACGATGACAGAGCAACGAGGTATCGGCGAGTGCATGACCGGCCTCCGTTTCCTGCACTTCTTTCCTGTAGTTCCCCTAGCTCATCGAGCTCAGCAGATGTTTCTGCGGGTCCGAAGGACGACCGCCAGCTCGAGTCGCAGCGCCACGTGGCACGAACCGCAGAGCAAGGGCACGCGAGCATTGCTCGTGGTCAGAATCTGAGTCCCCGTGGTGCCTCACTCCGCTGGCCACCCACCAGCAGCCCTCGAAAGTGGCGACAGTTTCACAGATCGCAGCCGCCCAGGGGTGGCGAGGTCTAATATGAGTCCCCGTGGTGCCTCACTCCGCTGGACCCACCAGCAGCCTCGAAAGTGGTGACAGTTTCACACAGGGATGGCGAGGTCTAATCTGCGCCGTGGTTGCACTCACTCCGCTGGACACAACAGACAAACCCTCGAAAGTGGCGACAGTTCACAGATCGACAGCCCCAAGAGATGGCGAGGTCTAATCTGAGTCCCCGTGGTGCCTCACTCCGCTGGACCCACCAGCAGCCCTCGAAAGTGGCAACAGTTTCACAGATCGCAGCCCCCCAGAGATGGCGAGGTCTAATCTGAGTCCCCGTGGTGCCTCACTCCGCTGGACCCACCAGCAGCCCTCGAAACTGGTGACAGTTTCACAGATCGCAGCCCCCCCCCAGAGATGGCGAGGTCTAATCTGAGTCCCCGTGGTGCCTCACTCCGCTGGACCCACCAGCAGCCCTCGAAAGTAGCGACAGTTTCACAGATCGCAGCCCCCCCCCCCCAGGGATGGCGAGGTCTAATCTGAGTCCCCGTGGTGCCTCACTCCGCTGGACCCACCAGCAGCCCTCAAAAGTGGTGACAGTTCCGCAGATCGCAGCCCGCCAGGGATGACGTGAAAGGCAAGAGAAGAGAAGAGGAGGAGCGAAGAGAGGAGGAGAAGGCAAGCAAGAGAGGAGAGGAGGAGGGAAGAGAGGGGGGGGGGCGGGAAGGAAGGAAGGAAGGTGGAGACCGCAGTGCTCTATTCAAAACGAGTACCCAACGCAGGAGGGTTGGGAAAAACATGCAATGCCAACGTCGCCCACGAGGCACCTACGAGGGGGCCAGCAAGCCTTGCCGACAGGCCGAAACGTTGCTCAATCGGGTGAATCCGAAAGGACGTCAGAAGGGAGCCATGGGCCTGCCCGTCAAACTTCCCCCTTTTAAATCGGTACGGGTGCCATCTCGTTTGGGTTTCGCGCCCCCCCCCCCCGGAAACAGGAAACGGCAATAACTACTCGACGCGGATACCCCCATATGCGCATGCATCTCAATTCCTGGCGCTCCCGTCTATGATGGTCTATATGCAAGAATACCAACCGTCCCAGACGGTTGCAGGGCAAACCGTTTGAGAACTCCCAATGATTCGGGCGTGAACGGGCACATGTCGTGCACTTGCGCAGAATGGGCCCGGTGGATTTCAACAAATGTGTAGGTCTGAGACTCGTGTGCAAATCTCTCTCTCTCTCTCTCTTTCCCTCTTTCTCTATCACATTCACTCTCTCTCTCTCTCTCACACTCTCTCCCTTGTTCCGGTATCCAAACTGCGCCGAAACTCCTTTCGCGTATGTAGGAAAACATTAACCACGATTTCTTTTTTAAAAAGGGAACCTCCGTGGGAAATGTTTACACTACGATGGAATTATTACTGATGTATCCTGAGTGGTAAATCATGAACAAGAGATCCTGTCTGGAGAACCCTTAATAAGAAATCCTGTGCAGGCACCCTTGGGGAAGAATATGATGCCAGAAATCCTTGGCCGGGAATTCAGGGAACGAAATTCTTCTTCCGGAACCCTTCAGAAGGATTTCCTGACCAGGAACCCAACATGGGAACACCTTCGCGAGGTACCCTTTTTACAAAATCAAATGTGACCACGATGGAAACCACCGCAACCGCAAGTTCACAAAAATATTCCAGGACGGGCGCAATCCCAAATTTACATGGCAGCGTTTCGCACTTGCACTCACGGTTCACTCTGCACTGCGCGCAGCGCATGCAATTACACACGCCTTCGCCTTGCAAACATCACCCCAGGAACCATCTTAATAACACCAAAGGTGACTTGTGGGACCTGCGGGACCTGTGGAACCTGCCGGACTTGGGAGAAATGTTAGGAGCGTGAGCCCTGTGGAACTTGTGGGAGCTGTGCGGGCTGCGGTAGCTGTGGGACCTGAGGGACCTGCGAGACCTGTGGGACCCTTGGGACCTGTGGGACGCGTGGGCCTGGTGGGACCTGTGGGGCCTGCGAAATTGCAAAACTTGTCGTCCCTGCGAGACCTGTGGGACCTGTGGGACCTGCGGGGCTTGCGCCACCTGCGACACCTGCCTGACCTGTCGGACCTGTAGGACCTGAGGGACTCGTAGGACCTGTGGGACCTGCAGGACCTGCGATACCAGTAGGACCTGTGGCGCCTGTGGCACCTGTAGGCCCCGTGGGACCTGCGGAACTTGCGGGGCCTGCGGGACCGGCGCGACATGTGGGACCTGTGGGACCTGTGGGACCGGAGGGGCTGGGTGGACCTGTGGGGCCTGTGGGCCCTGTAGGGCCTGAGGGGCCTGTGGGGCATGCGTCGCCTGTGGGGCGTGTGGGGCATGCGGGACCTGCGCGACCTGCGAAACCTGTGGGACCTGCGGGTCCTGCGGAACCTGCGGGACCTGCGGACCCCGTGGCCCTTGTAGGACCTGTAAGCCCTATCGAGCCTGTGGGACCTGTGGGGCCTTCGGGGCATGTGGGACCTGGGGGGACTGGGACTTGCGGGGCCTGCGGGACTTGCCAGACCTACGAGGCCTGCGGGGCTTGCGGGACTTGTAGGACCTGTGGGACATGTGGGGCATGTGGGACTTGTGGGACATGTGGGATATGCTGGGCCTGCGGGATTTGTGGGACCTGCGCGACCTGCGGGACTTGTGGGACTCGTGGGACCTGTGCTGGCGGCGGGACCAGTCGGACCTGCGGGACCTGTGGGACCCGGGGGGCCTGTGGGACCTGTGGGACCTGAGGGACCTGGGAGACCTGCGGAACCTGTGGGACCTGTGAGAGCTGCGGGACCTGCGGGACATGTGCGACCGGTGGACC